TTCTTGCAAAGAAAGGGAAGCGTGCTCATTCTTCGACGAGTTCAAGTGGTACAACAGTAAGCTCGCACAACGAACTTGCTATGTACCAGGGTGTGCCATGCGATTACGACGACGACGACGTGGATTTTGATGTGCTCGGATGGTGGAAGCGGAACGAACACATGTTCCCATGTCTCGGCATGCTAGCAAGACAAGTGTTATCTGTTCTGGTATCAACCGTAGCAGTTGAACGAGAATTCAGTGCTAGCGGGAACATTCTAACCGACTATCGAAGTTGTCTTAGTGCTGAATCTCTTGAAACACTGGTTTGCAACCAAGATTGGCTCTTGGCAAGACGTCGAGCTCAAGAGTCATCGTACCTACTCGAATCGGAGCATTACATGAATGCAACAACAGATGGAAGTCCGAGTTCTGAAGAATAAGTTATAATTTTTTTATGTTAATGTAGATATGTAATTAGTTTTTTTAGGTGAGCGATATATGAGCTCCTTCGAGGGTTTCTTTACGGTTCTTTACCTCGTCGCTTTTTTTGAACCGTCAGGATATTAAATGTGGTTGTTCTTTAGTTAGTGTATTATTCATTTAAAATATTTAAATAACAACTACATTTTTAAATTTTTTATTTCATTCTTTCCTTAAACAATTGCAAATTTACAATTTTATACTTTAAAAATTTCAAAAAAAGCAAAAAAAAAAATAAATAGGAGGGGGGCCGAAACCGGCCGGTCCAGTACCGGAACCGCCGGTCCGGGAACCGGAACCGGTACCGGCCGGCACGGTGACGGTGACGGTTCCGGTGACATGGGGTGGCGGTACCGGAACCGTACCGTGTCCACCCCTACTAGCATCGCGTGTAGACATGGCAAACGGACCCAAATTCGATAACCTAAACCGAATAACATAGAATCGAACACGAAACAACTCCAAAATTGAAAAGTCGAATACCCAAAATGATTCGAACCAGACTAAAATCAAACCAAATGTATTCAGATCCGATTGAACCTAAACCGATTAAACCCGGAATCGATTAGACCAAAAACCCATTAGCCCTAGACTTGGAAAAACATACTTAGAACCGATTACCTGAACCGATTGATCCAAAACAGAAACCGAAATGATCCGAAAAGTGAAGATCTGATTTATAACCGAATAATCGAATTGATGATCCGAACCAAATCGAAATCGAACTAAATATATCCATATTTGATTTAAACCCAAAACTGATTAGATCCCAATCTGATTAGACTTGAAACCGGTTAAATCTGAAACCAATAAGACCCGAAATCGATAAGACCTGAAATCGAATATATCCCAAATTGATTCTATCCGAAATTGATTCTTCCTGACAATTAAACATGTTATGTTTATGTTTATGTACATTAGTGAGCAATTACATTAATATGGTTTCAAATTTTTATTTTACCATTTCAAATATTTATATACTTATAAAACTTACTCCTTATGTCCAAAATTAATTATCATATCTAAACAAAATGTACAATTTAATGTGTTTTAATTTTTTTTATAAATTGCTGTAAAAATAAATAATACAACTTACATAAAAATGATATTTAAAATTTATACAAGCTAGAGCATGACTAAAAATAGTTTTTTTCACTCTCCTCTAATGCAATACTGTGTGGTTGCCCAAACATGTGCTATCCAATTAGATTAATTTTAAATTAGAACTAAATATATTTTTCTTTCATAATTTGTAATCCAAGTTTATAAAAGATGACTAAGGGGGGTGTATTCAATCTAGACTCTGCAGGATTTTTTAGGATTTTAAAAGTCAATGAGTATTCAATTGAGATTTTAAAAAATCCTTTAAAATTTAGAGGTATTCAATTGAGATTTTAAAAAATCTTTCTAAATCTAATGATATTAAAAAATCAATAGATTTTCAAGACTTGTAATAAAAAACAGATTTTGATGGATTCTTAGCATGAAATAAATAAAAAAGATTTTTCCAAATCCAAAGAAAAGACTAGGGATTGTGTGGAATCCAAAAGCCATTCTTTTCTTCCGCCTCATCTTCTCCACGACTCCACCTCCTCCTACGAATCTTCTTCTCTTCTTCCGCTCATCTTCTCCATCTCCTCCTCCATTGGCATCTCCTCCTCCGTGAGCACATGTTTTTCTCTTCTCCAACTTCCCTCTATCGTCGTCAAGCCTTTACGGTAAGATTTCTCTATCTCCAATAAACTATAATGAATTTCTTTTTTATTATGTATTTTTTTGTATGGATATAGTCTTCCGGCTTGAGAATTGCATATTTGTTGTCTCCTCTTCAATCTGTTTTTTTCTTAATTTTTTTATTTTTTTATCAAAAGAGTCAATTCGTCACTCTTGTTGCACTCTGTATTTGGGCTTGGCCTTTAAATAAGAGAAAAAAAGTTCCTGTTGAGATGTCCTGAGACTTGGTATTACAAAAAAAATGCCATATTTTTCAGTTGTCTCATTAGACACTGGTATTCTAACTCCACCCTAAGCTCTATGTTGTCTCCCTTGCATACACATGGGATGTTACAGGCAGTGAGAATGTGGGCTGGACAAAAATATCCCCAAATTTCAGAAACCATTGAAATTACTATTTGTTGAATAAGCTCAGAAGATAACCTTGCTGAATATCCTGAATTGGTGATGCACAGCATATTTTTTAAATAAAGATACTCTTTATTTTGTTTTGTATTAAATCAATATGAGCATTATTTCTTGAAATTTTTCTACTTTAATTACTACCTCCTCCCAAAATACATTAGGGAGTACAAATACTCGGGGGTATAACTGTCTGGCCGCATCAAGGAAGTCCTAAAAAAGAAGGATCATAATTTTTTTTCATACAAGTGTTTATGTAACATGTGATGTCTATCAATTTCCATTAAAAAAACTTCAAAATCCTACTCATTTTCTTCATTCTATGGAAAGTGCCTTCCAAGAACATAAAAATGGGAGAAATTGATAGGAGCAATAATGGAGCATAATGAGTGTAGTGGGTGCCAAAAATACCTTTGTTACTTTGCAATTAGAGTTTACTATAATGGTTGCTTTCTTTTTTCTTTTTTTTCTATTTGGTGCAACTTATTTTATGGGGGTTAAGGAGGAAAATCATTAGTGTGAAAACATGGAGACAACAGTGATATAGGGTCACTATGAACTTTCCAACTATTTGCTTGAAAGGCATGCAATCTGCCCTCAATTGTGTTTTTGCCTATCATAATTAACAAACATATGATAATTAAAAAATTGTCTCATTCAAATTCAATCCCCTTTTAACTCATATAGTATTTTCGGAATCTCACATTGATACCATCTTTTTTGAACATGTTACATACTCTTTATGTTGCTTTTTTTATGCATTTTCATATACTCTTTTTTTATTTTCAAAGCAATATAATCATGAGTGATCAACAACAAGATACCAAAAAAAGGAGGATATGAGCAATGGACAACCAAAGAAAGTGATGTACTGTTAGAGCTCATGGTGGATGCCGCTGCTCGAGGATGGCGTGATAATAGTGGTATTTTTTCTAAGCAAACAGTGGAAGAGAGGATACTTCCCGAGCTTAATAAAAGACTGGGGTGTCACAAGAACTATCTCAATTACCAAAGCTGATTGAAATGGTTTAAAAATAAATGGAACGCTTATTCAGAGCTTATGCGTTTTAGCTCTGGTTTTGGGTTTAACTCAACTACAAAGATGTTCACTGCCAAAGATGTTCACTGCCACAAAGATATTTAGAACGAAGGATGTACAAATTAATACGAGTATGAGATAATAAATTGATGATATATTGATAAATGCGATATGAAAAAAATGAACGGATACTTAAATTTTAATTCATAAATAACATATATGCAAACATATCTGAAGTGGAAATATATCCAAACTGAAATATATAAGAATCGAAATATTTCTGAACTGGAATGTATATGAAAGTGAAATTGATCTGAACCGATTGACATCCGAACCGATCTAGAATCGAGCCAAAACCGAAAAATGTATGGAACCGAATTAAATCCAAACCAAAATTAAATCGAATCGATCTGAACCGAACCATTATAACATATATCTAAAATATATCTAAATTAAAATACTCCAAACCGGAACCGATCTAGTTGGTCCAATTACCATCTCTAATTAGGGGAATGACCCGGTCTATTGCCTTATTGGAAAACTAGACTAAATTCTTAGTTGGGTCGACCTTGGGTTTATACTCATTCTCGAGAGGGTGTGTACTTCATATTGATACAATTTGATAAAACTAATACTCCGTATTTTAGAGACGGAGACATTTTCATCCAATACTATGATACAATCTAATAATATAATTGACTTTATTAAATTGTGATGATCCCGTTAGTGTATATACGAATTACCTAGAAATTTTTAATTAAAGCAAAAATACTCCGTAGTAAATAGGTAGAAAAATAAAATACGATAACAACACAATATGAAAAGTAATATATCTCTTATTGCATCCCATGAAAAAATATTTTTAAGGTTAAGTCTTTAAACCATGTCTAAAAAATATTTAAAAAAATACATTGAATAGTTATATATATTTAATATCAAGCAGTTAATTTTGAAATATAGTTTTGAAATGGACCGGAGGAATATTCATTAACATATACGGTACTTGTAGACCTAACAAAAATTGACCTAACATGTTTTATACCCGATAAACCTAAAAATATTCGGTTTTGAACATATATTTTGTTCACTGAACTTGAAATGACTCACTAAACACGGGTCAAACCCGAACTCGACGTGCTAAAAGATGCGGGTTTTACTAAGGTTCGAGTCTAAACCCAATCCATTGATAGGCCTTCCCAAAGTTCTGTTTGATAAGCAAAGAAGACATTAGTTTTAAGATATAATTATAAGTATGAGAACCCTTTTATGATTATAGATCTAAATAAGTTTTAGATTTGATAAATTGATATATTAAATAAAACCTCCATAATTAGAGCATTTTGATTGGTATCTCTGAGTCAGTGTTTAACATCCCTTCAACTGCAGGCCACGTTACCATCGATTTCCAATATTGTTGACCACTTGATGCCAAACGACCCCATCGTCAGGCTATCATGTACAATAATCATTTCAAAATCCCTCTAAATAATTTTAGATAGTATTTTGGGAAATAAAATTTTTTAATTCTATCATTGTATTTCAATTCCAAAAGTTAAATTATTGAATATTAAATGAGAAGGGTAAACATGAATTTGAAATTAAGCTTTCTGATCAAATCCATGCATTTGACTCGAATCCAAATCTAAAATCATCATATTATCATACACAAAACTTGAATTAAATTTATATTTGAAATCCAATTTCAAATTCCCACACAAACGATATTTTTCTAAGAGTGCATCTGGTTGGGGGAAATATTTCTGAAAAATTTTGATTTCATTTCCCCTGTTTGGTATAAATAGTAGGAAAACATATTTTCAAGAAAAATATTTATCTTCGATCAAAGGAAAAATAATTTTCGTTTGTTTTTTTAAAAAAATTTCTCACTCCCTAGAGCCGTTCGCTATCCCCAACTCTAACCCCCACCCCTCCAACCCAGCCTCCCCCTATCCACCCCCACTCCCTCACCCCGCCTACCATGCTATCTTCCATCCACACTCACCCCGCTTGTGAGTCTCCCACCCCATGCACCCAAGCCCTTGACATTATCCACCACCTGGTTGTATTTTGTCATTTGCTAATCTGTGTCATTTGTCTCTATCCCATCCTCGAGCTAATAATCATGTCTTACCTGTCTTGTTATTTTTAAAATAATTTAAAATTATTATTAAAAGTTTAAACATGTTTTAAATATGAGTTTTAAAATCTTAACAAACCTTTGTATCAAACAATGAAAACACTTTTGACAAAAAAAATTGGGCAAACAAAATTCTTGAAGATCCTTTTGTTCCGGAACTCACAACTCTTCCTAAACTCACGGCCCTCATTAAAGTTTGAAGTTTGAACGGAAATTTGAAAAGCTGATTTTCCTGCTAAATTCTTCCGATACGACCAACAAAAGGAGAAGAAGAAGATAGACAGACAGTCTCAACTCACAGTCTATAAATTTGAGCTAAATTTCTGCAATGTATCGATTCTTCCCCTTCTTTCCCCTATTTTCGCTTACAATTCCAAAAGGTCTCAGCAATGGAGTCTTCCCCATCGCTCTCATCCACGGAGAAGTTCAATTTCCGGACCAAAGTCCTAAGCGGACACCTAAACCAACACAGCAGCGGCAACAGCAGCCCTTCGATCCTCCGATCCTCTCCGTGCCTCAGCTACACGCCGCCGGAGCTCTCAGAGCAGCCTGCGGCGTTCGACGTGTCCGCGATGCGGAAGCTGCTGGACGGCCACAACTTGGAGGACAGGGATTGGCTGTACGGCATGATGATCCAGAGCGAGCTTTTCAATCCGGTTGTTAGGGGTGGGAAGGTGTTCGTGGGCGTGGATTTCAACCATCCAATGGAGAAGCAGAGGGAGTTAACGATGAGGAGAATTGAGTATCTTTTGGAAATTGGGGTTTTTAGGGGATTGCTTTCTGATAATGGGCCTGAGGCTGAGCTCAGGAAGTTGGCTTTGCTTGAAGTTACTTCCCTTTTTGATCACTCTCTCAGCGTCAAACTTGGGGTTCATTTTTTGCTCTGGTGTGTTTAAATTCCTTTCTTTCTGCAATTCTTCTCTTTCATGCTTTTGTATGTTTTCATTTTGATCAAGTTTTAATTTTGATTCTGGTGGGCTGAGTTTAGAAACATTAACTGTACTTTGCATTACTAATATGTGGAGTTAAAATGTGAAATCTATGGAGTCTATCATTATAGTATTTTAAAATATAGTTTCAACATGTCATGAATTTCCAATATTTATTTCGTGGCAGGGGCGGAGCAATCCAATTTTTGGGAACAAAGCGCCATCATGACCAGTGGTTGAAGGACAGTGAAAATTTTGTAGTCAAAGGTTGCTTTTCGATGACAGAGTTAGGACATGGAAGCAATGTGGGTGATGATAGTGGTTCAGAATCTTTATGTAGCCAGTGTTGATTAATCTAAATCAAGCATTACATTCCTGAATATTGATATTATGCTTCCTCTGTGGTTTGCCAGGTTCGTGGTATCGAAACTGTCACGACTTATGATCAAAGCACAGGAGAGTTTGTTATAAAGACTCCTTGCGAGTCTGCTCAGAAGTACTGGATTGGAGGAGCCGCCAATGTAACATTTTATTTTATCTCATTTTTGTTCTTCTAGCTTTTTGGATCAATTTGTTCAGATCTTCAGTGTTCTATTTCGAACTTCAAAATGATATGAAATGAAAATAGGTTTTAAATTTGACAGGATGGAAACTTTGGGGGAAGATTTAGTGTATTTCTTTTAGATATATGTTCAAAATTCAAACTCTGTTTTTTGTCATTATATAAACACTTAGAAATCCAAATAAGATTATTTTTTAAATCATACGGTGTATTTCATTTTTTCCTCGCCATTTTAGCATTTGTGTCATTTCCACTGTCATCTTCTAGGAAACAAAAATAACATAAGGTAGTGTTTGGCAACTAGGATTTCATTTCAATTCATGTATTTCAATTCCAAAATTTGAAATCTTGAATTTCAAATGACAAGGGGAGGCGCATGGATTTAAAATTAAGCTTTGTTATGAATGAGAAGAATTTGATTCAAATCCAAATTTAAAATTTGTAAGTTTCCCAAACATGGAATTTGAGCCAAATTTGGATTTGAAATCCAAATCCATGTTCCCAAACATACCATAAGGCCCCATTTGGTACACAGAATTCAAATTATGGAATTGGAATTGAGGTCTTCAATTCCAATTCTGATGTTTGGTAGTACAAAAATTATGTGGATTTGGAATTGATAGTGTAAAAAATGAATTGGAATTGGTAGAATTCAATTCTATGGAATTGAATCCAATGGAATTTCATTTCCAATTCAATTCAAATTCTATCAATTCCGTATACCAAACGGACCCTAAGGGCATTTGTTTGTAATGCATTAATACGTGCTCCTCTTAATCCTGTTGTAGCATGCAACACACACTATAGTTCTTTCACAACTCATCATTGGTGGGAAAAATCAAGGGGTCCATGCATTCATTGCGGAGATAAGAGACTCAAATGGTAACATTCGTCCCAACATTCGTATAGCTGACTGTGGCCACAAGATTGGTTTGAATGGAGTTGACAATGGCCGGATCTGGTACCTAGTTTATTATTTTTTCCTCTTATGTTTCTGTATCAATCTTCATGGTTTGAAAATTCTTTGATTTGATTTGTCCAGGTTTGATAATCTTCGCGCTCCTAGGGAGAACTTGTTGAATTTAGTTGCTGATGTTTCCTCAGATGGGGAATACATTACTGCAATTGAGGACCCTGACCAAGTAACTAAAATTCTTCTAAACATCAATACTAAATTATTGTATTTCTATAATCATTTCTTACTGTATCTCATTTCTTTGCCAAGTTCAGTTGTCAAGGAGTCCTTTTAAATATTTGTGGATTTTCATAATTATCCTTTGCTTAAGTTCCATATCTCGATGTTCCTTTATTCTGCTTGAACAAGCATGATTTAAGATTGTACTTATATTTCAGCGCTTTGGAGCATTCATGGCCCCATTGACTACTGGACGAGTAACAATACCAACAGTTGTAACTTATGCTGCAAAGGTAAACAATTGTCTATTTTATCTTTTTTTTTTTTTGTATTTTGAGGGAGTTACAGCGAGGAGCTCTTCTATAACAACACTTCTTTACTATAATAGGTAGGAATAGCTACTGCTATAAGATACTCTTTAACAAGGAGAGCATTTTCTATCACACCTAATGGTCCTGAAGTTTTATTGCTTGATTACCCAAGTCATCAAAGACGCCTACTGCCTCTTCTTGCAAAGACGTAACTGTTTCATCTACTTCTTCCCAGCCTTTTTTGTTTGGACTGGTTTTTATTCTCATGGAATTTGGCTATTTCTGTTTTATTCTGTGTTCTTGTGCTGCAGATATGCCATGAGTTTTGCTGCTATCTCTTTGAAAATGATGTACGTAAAAAGGACACCTGAAGTGAACAAAACTCTGCATGTCGTTTCAAGTGCTTTTAAGGCCACCTTAAGCTGGCATAACATGCGAACACTTCAGGTATAACAAATCCTTACCTGCAATAAAATGGTTTGTTGATTTTATTTATTTTAACAGATTTCATTTTATGGATTGAATTAGGAATGTAGAGAAGCTTGTGGAGGCCAAGGCCTTAAAAGTGAGAATCGTATAGGCCAATTGAAAAGTGACTATGATGTAAACTCTACTTTTGAGGGTGACAACAATGTTCTCATGCAACAGGTGAGTAACTGAATATAACCCATACACCATGCAGCATTTCATTGTTTTTTTCATTCGAAGTTTATTGTACCAGTCACATAATTTCTCATGATTTCTACCTGTTATGATTAAGAGTTTAAGTTCATAATATGATTTTGTGGGGTCAGGTGAGCAAGGCACTTCTGTCAGTATATGTTGCATGCAAGAGAAAGGGAATCCCATTTGAAGGGTTGGGATTGGAACACATGAATGGACCTTCTCCATTAATACCATCTAAGCTTTCAAGTGACATCTTAAGGAGCATCCAGTTCCAGGTAACTCATTTTCCAGTTTTGTGTCATAGGGAAATAAAATCTTTTATCATATGAAGTCTTGTTCGTTTTTTCCAGAATGACATCTTTTGCCTGCGAGAGCGTGAACTTTTGACCCGCTTTGCTGCTGAAGTGTCACAACACCAAGCACGCGGTGAAAGCAAAGAAAATGCTCTTATGTTGGTAAGTTATTCTGTTGCTTACATTTACTAGGGGGTAGGGGCTGTATTTTGATTTTAGGGCTTGAAATCTGCATATACCTCATTTACTGTGGGTGTGTAGTGTGTTTAACAGCTCCAAAATGTTTTTTGATCTTCTCTTATGCAGAGTTATCAAATGGCAGCAGACTTGGGCAAAGCCTTCGCAGACCTGGCAATTTACCGTGCATTCTTAGAAGCCGAGGCTTCTGTGGTACCTGGTCCGCTAAAGGTACTTTTAAATGACAGTGTTGCCCACCCCCCAGAAAAATCTATCATTTTATTTTTGCCCAATACGGTTAATGATAATTAAGAACTTCAAATAGATAAGCACATACAGGTCTTAAGTGAATATGGGTAGTTTTGTCAATTTATGGTTTGGTTGCCAACTTCATTGCAGAACATACTTGGCCTTGTGAGATCAATGTACGTTATGGTTAGTTTGGACGAGGATGCTGCGTTCCTGAGATACGGATGCATAACGCCAGAGAATGCCGCCACTGCAATTAGGGATGAAATCTCAACAGTCTGCAGAGAGCTAAGGCCACATGCCCTTACTTTGGTCACTTCTTTTGGTATACCTGATGCCTTCTTGAGCCCCTTGGCTTTCAATTGGGTTGACGCAAATGCTTGGTCTTAGCATGGTTCTAATTGAATATGGGTTTTGTCAATCTATGATTTGGTCATAGCCTTGTTACATTAAGGCCACCTTACTACACTTACTATGAAAAACTTCGCTCGTGTCCACTTTTTGTTTAATTATTACCCGATTACTAAATAAATTCCTTATCAGATTATGTTCTTTTCTATTGCATTTAAATATGCCTTGTTGAGAAGTATGAGATGAAACAAACGAAGAAAAACGCATCCAAACTTTTACCAAACGGATAATCAGAATAAAGCAGAAATCATTCAAGCACTCTTATTTCAGAAGGTTAACACTTGACAGTGATAAATCTCAATCCCATACATTGATCTAATCGTACAAAGTATGCAGAAAGTAACAAAAACAGGAAACTTAAATAGACAAACGACAGAAATCCTTAAACACCAAGATTAACAACTGTTCATCATCGTCACCTGGGATTATTATTACAGATTTATAAAGGAGCTATCCACCCGGCGAGAATTCTACCTTCAGTTCACTATAATTTATAATCTGTCCATTGCTGTTCGGATGGAATGGTCATGGATCAAGATTTTGCTAGGATTTACCTCGGAGAAGATTGTCCCCATCCTCATTGGTAAATGCAGCTTGGCTTAACCAAAATCTGCATGAAAACATGAGCCAAACTGAAGGAGATGAACTTATAGGGGTCAAGTGATTCTAGCAAACTAATTGGCATTATGATATCGGTCCCGACAACTTGAGGTTAATGTGTTGACTATGATGCCCACACTTAATTTTTTTGCCCACATTAACACTACAATCCTTGGGAGCATTAAATGACATCATTTTTATTGATTATCAAACTTGCCGCCAATCCATAATCATTTTTTCATCATTCAAAACACGGTTTTATTCAGTATGAAACTCTCATAATCATAGTCACAAAAAAATTCATTTTTCCATGTTTCTTTATCAAGAAAAGTATCCATAACAAGTTGAGAGACTGTTAGTTTTTTTCAAGTCCGCTTTAATGTTTTTAATTGTATCTCACTAAGTAAGAATGCAATTAATTACATGCAAGGTTTGAGCTACTTGAGAATAGATAAAAAAAGATAACATCTTTTGTCCAAAAATGTTCTTTTTCTTTAAGCATTTAAACTTATTGCAATATACAGTATCTGATACTGTACAAGATATGCAAATTTTGGTAGCTCTTTTATTCAAGTACATAAATGTATACTTGAACTTAAAATGGGGGTAAAAATCATATTTATTCAATAAAAATATCAAAGGACGCCAAAGAAGCTAGAATATAAAGATATGATTATACCATTAGATGCCACCACCACCACCACCATCATCATCATCATCCACTTGATCTGGGCCGGGCACCGCTCGAACGAGGCCAGTTCATGGAGATCACAGGCTCACCTTCACCGCCTGGGCCCATCCTCTCATACCCTCCCCCAGATTTGGGCCTCCCATTCTCCGGCCCGGTATAGAGCAGCCCACCTCCGAACTCACCTCTCCCTCTACCTTTCTGAAAATCCGTCACGAGCTTCTCCTCCCGGCCCACAAATCCAGGTCTAAGATGCGGCGGCACAAAGCGGTCGGACTTGGGCAACGGAGACTGCAGTGGCGACGACGGTTTCCCCGGCGAAGATAAAGTGTTCGATGAAATTACCGGACCCGACCCGGTTCTACCCCGCGGCCGAAGAGAAATCGAGTCCGAATCGGGTGGAGATTTCTCCGGAGGGCTCTGAAATTTGTGGTTCTGTTCGACTGGGATGGTCTGCGGCTGAGGTATGGAGATCGGTTTGGGCGTGGGACGGCTCATGACGAGCATATGGCCATGGATTCGAGAATTTGAGATAATAGTGGGAGATGAAGAAGAAGAAGAGTGAGGTCTATGGGCGGCAGCGGCGGAGGAGGAGCTGGATTTCTTCTCGTAGATGTCGTTGAAGTTAAGAGAGGTGTATTTATTGCTTCTTGCCATCCACCGCCGTCGTTAACGCCACCGCCACAGCCACCTTCTGAGTTCTGATGAAGGAATAGATGAGATACGATTGGATCGCGAGAATGATAAAAAATACAACATGCTAGGCCTAGGGGTAAGTGTATCCCAAACTCTATACAATATTTTTGTGTTACTTGATACTAATATTTTGTGTTAGTGTAAACCGTCAAACTCATACAAAATAAAAATTTATATCTATAACATATACTCTCTCCGTCCCTGAGTGTTTGTCCACTTTCATTTTTGCACACCATCCAATGCATTTCTTTAATCCATTTTATCTTGTAATTTGTATATTAAAAAATTATAAAAATTATATATTAATAATCTATATGTTAAGACGAATCAAACAAGATCACACATGACTATTTTTAGGCTTACACATTGAGAGAATTTGATGAGTCAAAGTGCTTAGATGAACAGTTCCAAAAGTCAAAAGTGGACAAACACTCAGGAACGGAGCAAGTAATTCAAAATATAAATTCAAAAATATAAAGACTTTCGAGTTAAAGAGAGGGAGAGAGTGAATGTTTAGGAAGATGGTCAAACACAAAAAACCTCAACTTCATCTTCATGTAGAATAAGAGCATGAGCAATGGTGAGACAGAAATGGAATGCCACACGCTGACATGGAACATTTCAACCAATGAAAAATAGTCCAATCAGCGTGTGACAACTGAGTGGAGTAGCATGCCCTGCAGTGGCAAGTCACTATTTTTATTACTTTTTTCATTTTCTTGCTATTTTTGAATTATTAAAAAATATTTACCTATTTAATTATTTTAACATAAAAATATTTTTATTTATTGAAAAAAGGACATTATTGAAATGTATTTTAATGAATAAAAATTATTTTACTTATATGCTCCATATTTTTATTTATCCTTCCGTGTCAAATTAGATTACATTTTAGAATTATGATGCAAAACTCCTTATTCTTTAAAATCATTTTATTTATAACTGGTAAAAGAATAAAAATAAAAATTACAAATTAAAAAACAACATCAAAAAATAGTTCCACTACATCTAAAAAAATTCTTTCTAAAAATAAAATAATTCTAGTTTAAAAAAAATTGTATTAAACAAACAAAAAGCCAATGAAATGGATTGGCCGGAGTGTACTGTAGACAAAAAAAGGTGCCTCACACCTCACTTGAAAACCGTGGAGGAACGGTATGCACACACGAGGCAAAGATGGATTTTTATCCGAGCTGGCAAGCGTGTCATCTCCTTTACACGCTGTTGCCTTTGCTCTAAGAGCACTGGAAATGGCCTTAACGTCCACTGTGTGAAACACGGTTTTAACGCTAGAAGAGCGTTAAGCACCACCCCCTCACCCGTCATCCCAGTGCTATCTCCACTACGTTAAACCTTTGACGCAACTGAGAGTTTGAGACGTTGGCCAGACGACCGTCCCCTTTCATCAGTCCAAATTATGGCCGTTGATCTAAATAAAAAATAATCTTTTTATATTTTTAAGAAAAAATTATCTTTCAGAAGTGAAAAATAATCTAAAATAGCAAATACTCTGGAGCATAATATAAATATGCATTATGTTAAAATTCTTAATAAATATCTGTGCAAGTTTATACTCTCGATAATGTGTGTGTGTGTATATATATATATGATAATATATATAATTAAAAGAATAAATAATTAATACATCCAAATCAGAAGATTAGATATAAATTACTCGTAATTAATTTGGTATCCATTTATTATTTGATTTTTTTTGAAGGATTTGAATTTTATTTAATCAAATACAAATATCTTAATTTTTAGGAAAATTTATTCATTCAACTTTATACGGTATTTAAAAAATAATGGAACTTTTCATTTTCATGCATAATAATCTCAAATTTAATGAAATTTGCAAGATTTGGATCGCGGTTAAGTTACTAAAGGTGGCTTTACGGAAACGGTCTATTTTGCACAACAAAATGAAAGTTAAATTATTTTTTATTGTTTTTTCAAAAATTTCAGATAACTTTTTATAATAGCTTTCTCTTGATTATTTTTTTATTTTTTAAAGATTAGTCTTACTTAAAAAGATAGATACTCCGTATAAAAAATAACAAAAATGAGAAAAGTAACAAAACATACAAAATTAATGACATAGGTAAGTTAATTATCAATAGTAATTAACACAAACCTGGTAACAAAATAAAATAAAAATATAGTGAGCGGTGAATTTTAACATTTTATGCAATATGCATAGTATCGATATACCACTTCTTCAATTCTTATTTTTGGGAAAAATTATCTAGAGTAATCCCAACGCTACCCGTTTTTTCACAAAGTAATTAGTAGTACATTAATACTTTGTATGATGCGTAAATCCTTTAATATAATAAAGGAGACTCGGATCACCAGAGCTCGACAAGTGGATCGTCTATGTGGAGTCTTTATTGACACGTCAACGATGACTGTACACGGATCTAAAGTCATTCCTAAAATAAAGACTTCATATATGGAAACTTTGTTTATAATCATTGACCATTTAGTTTATGGTAACTTTTAAAACTTGATGTTTATATACATTTGATAAATTTAAACTTATATATTTGATATTCCAAAAAACATTACATCCTTTAAATTCATTTAACTTATTCATATCTCCAAGAGTTTTTTTATCAAAAATTAAAGAAATATTTGACTAAATAGTACTAAAACTTAAGTCATTTCCCTAAATAACACTTAAACGGTTTTATTATTTATATAGCACTTAATAATGTCCATAATATCCAGTGATGGCCAACATTTACTTGAATAATGACTAATGGATAATGAATAAAAATGCTACATTGGAAAAAAACACATATGATGCTATTTAGTGAAACTCATTATGTTTTAGTGCTATTTACGTAAATTCCCCAAAATTAAAAGTTATTTTTTAAATAAAATTTAGAAATTACTTCCTTAAAATACTCTAACCTACTAATTTATAAAGAAATCTCGCTAAATAAAAGTAAAATATAAAGAATGTACCGAAATAAAAGCTCCATGTTTTTATCTGAAAAATAGGAGTCTGTACTATGATAATGTTGCACTGCATATGAACATTTCACAATACTTTTTTGTATTATATATTGGCATGATTGACATTGTATATGCATTTCAACTCCTACTTTGGGAATAAAAATATGGAATTTCTATTTTGGTATATTTCCTATCCTTTAATCCTACTTAAGTCTTTTTAATTTATACCCATATTTTTATAAGTACGTACTACTTTGTATATAAATAAAAAAATTCAATTTTTATAGTTACAACCTTTGAGATATTACTTTTTTTCGAAAAGAATTCATATGATATTAAAAATAAAATGTGTATCACCTAATTAAAAAGGGAAATTTTAACAAGAAATACTTTATGATTTAGTGCACTTCAAAATTTTTTCCCTAATAAATACAAGTTCCTTAAATATGTAAAAAAGGAATTAAGCAAAGATTCTATCAAGATTCAATTTTTTTAAACAAATCACGCTAAATAAGAGTAAAACATAGAGAAAAGACCAAAATATGAGTTCTATGTTTTTTGTTCCCTAAATAAGAGTTCGCACTGTAGTAATGTAGTACTGTAGTACATGTAAATTTTACTCTAACTTTTGGTAATGTACATGGTCATGATTGATAATGTAAACACATTTTTTCTCATATTTCGAAAATAAAAACATGAAACTCATATTAACCAAATTAATCTTGAAAAATATTCTACAATCATATTTTTATATAATATAGAAAAGTAAAAATTATCTAATTTAGCATCTGTTCTTTTAAATTTGAAAAGAAGAGATAGATGTGGAAAGAAACTGAAATATGTTGCAAAACATAAAAAGAGTTAGAAAAGGCTAAAAAGAATTAGAAGAAAGTAAAAAGAGTTAGAAGTTTGAAAAAAAAATAAAAGGAGTTGAAATGAATATTTTTTTTGATAAAATAAGTTATACTAACATATTTTTTTGAAAGGAGTTAAAATATAATCCTAACATAACGAAAAAATAATTGTATATTTATTTTTAAAAATAGCCATATAAGGAGTTATTTTTTTCCTGACATTGTTTTTAGATGAAAAGTCTATTAAATTTTTACATATATAAACATATAATATACTCCGTACTAAAATAAAAATTTTAGGGAAATTTGACATAGATTATAATTAATAGTGTTTATTAAATAATTTCCAATGATTTTCATTCTTTAAATATTATATAGAACTAAAATTAATATTTTAAACTCTTCTCATGGAAGTCATCTAATTAAAAATACAAGCCATATTAATCGTGAAAAATATTTTGCAATAATTTTTTTTATATAATATAGAAAAGTAAATTTTATCTAAATTACCATCTGTTTGAAAAAAAGAGTTAGATGTTGAAAGAAATTGAAAAAAAGTTAGAAGAAACTCAAAAGAGTTAGAAGTTTGAAAATATTGAAAGGAGTTAAAATGAATATTTTATTAATTAAAATAAGTTATACCTCATGTTGTAAGTTTCATTTCCTTCTATTTTTTTGTTATATATCCTATAATTTTTGTCTTAGACATTATTTAGTACAAAAAAATTTGTGTGACTCACACTTATTATTTCTCTTAATTTTTAGTATCAATATCATTCCTAAAATTTTTCATTTCTTAGTTTTGTGTCCCTAACTCATGTCAAAATAATGCTAAAACGAAGTGAGAAATATTTTTTATTAATGTTTTTAGAGGAATAATTCAATATTTATCGATCAAACAAAAATAATATTAAATTTCACTCTATACACTAAAATAATTACAACTTAAGATGTGGCTCATGAAATGACTCGGAATTAGCAATATTCATTTATTATCAGAAATGGTCAATGTGATACAAGTTAATTACTTTATTTTGATTAAGTAAAAGAATCATTTTAATATGACAATAAAAACAATTAACAATAAAAAACTCAATCAAAAGTATATAAAAATGCAAAAATGAATAAAAATAATGATCTTTGTGCGTGTTTGAGAAATCTTATATAATGAATCTAGATAAAAAGTGGTATTAGAATTATATATTCATTTTTAGTGGTAATGACTCGATTATAATGTTGTATATGTTCTTATT